CTCCTCAATGTCATCAGCTATCAGGCTTTTTGAACTTTATAAATTTATGTCTAGAAAAACTGGCTGATTCTCTTTCCTAGTCTGGATTAGGTTTTGTCTGTTTTCCCATAACATAGTATTTTAGTGTGTTTTGACTGCTGCTGTAACAGAATGCCACAGAACTGGCAATGTATAAACAATAGAAATTCATTTCTACTGTTTTGGAGGCTAGAAAGCTCCTGATCAGGTTGCTGAAACTTAGGTACAAGCATCTTGGGATAAGAGAGTATGAGGTAGGAGGAAATGGAAAAATGACAAGTGAGGGCCAAAGGTCAAATTCACTTTCATGCTCTTTGTTAGCATTAAGCTTTTCCTATTCCTATTCCTATTCCTATTATGAGCTCTCATAATCCAATACCCCTGGTTAAACTGCTTCCCCAATACTATTACATTGGGGAATATGTTCCCAGTGCAAGGCTTGGGGGTGCCATATTCAATATGGCAAATCCTGACAGCATGAAGCTAATGTTCTTAATAGTTCCTTACACAATGTAGGAATCTGCATATCTTCGTTCTCACTGGATTCTGGACTTCAAAAAGTATCTGATACTCTTTTTGATTTCTAGTGACTTCATTGTCTTTTTATTTCTAATGTCTGTCTTTGCTGTGCATGGCACAGAAGTTTGTGATCTAAAGTATGCAGTGTCAGAATTAATCAGATCTAAAATGTACCCAGTAAAACCCTGGGTATTATGAACTTGTAATGAATGGAAGAACATAGTCTCTGCCCTGTTTGTGTGCTTAGCTGTGTGGGCAGAATGATATGTAATATAATAGAGTACAGCATAATGTGAGGTTTGTATGTAGAATGATCTGAAAATATAAATTAAACATTTCAAATTCTTTAACATTTTGTATTTGCTTTTTGCTCCCCGCCCAACTGCTTGTCATTGCTATAATGTCTGTAACTTTCACTTGCTCATCTTATTATCTATCTTTCCTTGAAGGATATGCTAGAATGCTTGTCTCTTGTGGCTTTTCTGGTGCCCAACACAGTAGATACACAATAGATTTTAATAGATGGACTGGAGTTTGGAGAAGGAAGTGTATATAGTACTTGTGAAAGACTTTTGTGGAAAAAGACTCTGAAGTAGACCTTGACAGTATTCTATTAAATGAGTTAATTTTTTTCTGCAGATTTTTTTATTTGAATTAGAAACAAGATTGTTTTACATGACAATCCCAGTTCCCTCTCCCTCCCCTCCTCCCCTACCACCCCCCAACTAAAACTTTATCTGTCACATATCTTTTCTGCTCCCCCTGGATGGTGAGGACTTCCATAGGGTGTCATCAGTGTCTATTGTATCCTTTGGGAAGGGTCTAGGCCCACCCCCGTGTGTCAGGGAGTATTCCTCTATATGGAATGGGCTCCCAAAGTCCACACCTATGCTGGGATAAATACTGGGTTTTTACAGGAGGTCCCATAGATTTCAGAGGTTTCCTCACAGAAACTCATGTTCCTGGGGTCTGGATCAGTCTCATGCTGGTATTCCAGCTATCAGACTGGGGAGCAAGAGTTCCCGGATGTTCAGGTCAGCTGTTTCTGTGGGTTTCACCAGCCTGGTCTGGACCTCTGCACTCTTCACTGGTCCTTCTCTGCATCTGGGTTCCAGTTCAGTTCGGTGATTAGTTATGGGTGTCTGCTTCTACTTCCACCAGCTGCTGGATGAAGGTATATAAGTCAGTCATCAATCTCATAATCAGGGGAGGGCATTTAAGGTAGCCTCTCCTCCATTGCTGAGATAGTTAGCTGGTGTCATCTTTGTAGATCTCCAGACATTTCTCTAGTGCCTGATTTCTCTGTAAACCAAAAATGTCTCCCTTTATTATGATATCTCCATTCTTGTTATCATGTATTCTTCCCCTGACTCAAACTTTCTGCTCCCTCATGTCCTCGGCATCCCTCTTCTTCTCCCCTTCTCATTCTCCTAGCTCCCAATTTGCTCAGCAGGTCTTGAACCTCTCCCCTTCTCCAGGAGACCATGTATGTCTCTCTTAGGGACCTAAATGAGTTAATTTTTTATGAAGTAGATTGTAATGATAATTCTTTCTGTCAGCCGCCTGAGTTCCACTGCCACGTTAGGGCCTCCAAATAACCCACAGAGTCTTATATTAGTTACAGTGCTGCTGGCCAATGATTAGGATTTCTTATTTGGTAGCTCTGTCTTAATTATCAACCATAACCATTAATTTATATATTTTATAAAGACTTATCTTATAGAGGACTTAAGCAGCGTGCATCCTCTCTTTCAGGGATCACATGGTAACTACTTCATTTCCCAGAATCCTCCTGGACTCTTAGCCCCACCTATCTTGCTTTCCTATTGGCTATCAGTGTTTTATTTATCAACCAATAAGACAAACATATACACAGAAGGACTTATGCATCCTCTCTTTCAGGGATCACATGGTAACTACTACATTTCCCAGAATCCTCCTGGACTCTCAGCCCCACTATCTTGCTTTCCTATTGGCTAACAGTGTTTTATTTATCAACCAATAAGACAAACATATACACAGAAGGACTTCCCCCATCAGTACATTGAAGTAAATAGTTATCTGTCTTAATTTTAATTAAGTAATTGATTTTGAGACAGGATCTTGCTCTGTAGCATCACTGGTTGTCTTGGCATTAGCAATGTAACCTAGACTTTTGGCAATCCTGCCTATGCCTCTGGAGTACTGGGATTATAGGCATGTATGAACATGCCTGCTCCAATTTTATCTGTTTATGCCTTTTTTTCCCAGGTTATATGTTACTCTTAATTTTATCCTGAGACTTTCTAAAGGCTGCACAGCTCTCACTGTTAATGCCTCTTAGGTAATTTAACTATAAAACCCATGTGATCAGAGTGAGTGGTGTGTGTGTGTGTGGTGTGCATATGTATATATATGTATATTCTGTATCACTTGTAACAAACTGTCACCAGATATTAGCAAAATATATGCATAAAAAGTTAATTTGTTGTAATTATGCATCATGTAGATCCTTATTCTACTTGTTTTGGAATGTGAAAGCTTACCTTGTACTTTGAGTCTGTCCATTAACTACACATGAATTCGAACTCAAAACCATATCAATGTTCTGGTTATTTCATGAATAGGAATCATAATTGATTATTATAGCCCCCCAAATTCTTAGTTTTTAGTAAATCTTAGTGTTTTGAATATTTGACATTTTGGTTGTGAGCCTATCCTGGCTGATTGTCTCTCCAGTCCCCCGCCCCCCCCTTTTTTTTTTGGACAAGATCTCACTATGTAGTTCTAGCTTGTCTGGAACTCACTCTGTAGACCACGCTGGCCTCTAAAGTCACAGAAATCCACCTGTCTCTGCCCCCCTAGTGATGGGATTAAAGACATATGCCACCACAGCTGGTTTAAGTATATACTCGTCCCCCCATCTTTTTGTTTTTGTTTTTTATATGTGTTTTGCCTACATGTTTCTCTGTCCATCACTTATGTGCTTGTTTCCTGTATAGGTTAGATGAAGGCATCAGATGAAGGCATGCTCTGGAACTGGTATTAACAGATGTTTGTGAGCTGCCATGTAGATGCTGGGAATCGAACCCAGGTTCTCTGGAAGAGCAATAAGTGCTCTTAACCACTGAACTACATGTGACCTGTAGGAAATTTCATTTCCCATCTTCTGTAGTTTCCTTTTCTTTTCCATTTTCTTTCAGCACTAAAGAAATTGAAGTTAGGCTTTAAATAAGAACTATTAAAATGTTAAGTTACCTGGATATTTTTCAGATTGTAAACTGGAACATGTAGATATTTGGGTGTGAATTATCTTTTAGAAAATAAAATAACTTGTGCTTCTCAGTTACTTTACTGTCATTTTATTTTTCATAAATACCAAATTAGATGTTCATATTACTGCAGTAGACTTTAGAAAGCACGTGGCCTCTTTGCTTTATTTTATTGATGAGTGAGATAACTGAGACTATCATCTTGACTTGCTCACAATTAGCTGTTAACAATACAACAGGACCAGATTTTAACTATTGGTGAGATAACCACACTGTGGCATTCTCTGCTTATTAAATAAATTGTATTAAAACTTAAAATCACTGCATCTAGGAATGCATCTTGTTCTGCTTATACAATAATTTTAAATGATACTATTTAATGATTTAGTAAAACAATAACAATAATTTTACCAATTTTAGTGTGCATTATAGGGTCTGAATGAAAAAGCTCAGTGCTATCCTATTTTGGTATACAAACATTTGCAGTCATAGCATCAGAAGGGACCTTTCATCTACCTGGCCCTTATATCTTTGAAGACCCTCATATGATATTTGCCCTCTAAGTAGTGCTTTATTTTTATTATATTATCGTATTTTTTTCAGTCGTGGGGATGAAACGCTATAGCTCATGCATGCCAGGCTTTTGCCTTAGCCCTTTGGTTTTTGGCAGCTTTAATGATGTTTAGTTTGTCTTCCATTGGTAGGGGTGTATCCAACAAAGAGATACTAAGGAAAACATGAGAAATAAGATTTGAAGAAAGTTTCCTTTAAAAATCTTGTTGACCTTAAAATGTATACATTGAAAAGCCAGATAGACTCTTGGATTATCATAAATAGAAAGTTGTTCTACAGTTCCCTTCCTTACTTTTTTTGAATGTTTCTCCAACCTTTTGTTTTAATTAAGTTGTACAAAAGTAACACTGTCTATTTCATGTCATTTTTTTCTTCTTAATATGAGGAAATCTGTTTTTCTTTAGAAATATTGGATACAAAGGTATCTTGAAAGATGATAATATGTTAGATAAATTGGAATGTTGCTGCCTATTGTTTATTGAGTTGTTTATTTTACTCAACTTTGTTTATTATATCTTTGATGTTAGGATATATTCTGATAAGATAAAAGATGTTGGTCTTAGTCTGTAGTCTGGTTTTTATTTTGTTCTTGATTATGTCTATTGACAGCCTGCATTCTAGTATGGCAAGTTAGTGATTATCTTCTGCTCTGTTTTAGATCCCTGTATATCACTGAGTCCACCATGCTTCACTGAAGAAGACAGATTTAGTCTGGAAGCGCTTCAGACAATACATAAACAAATGGATGATGACAAAGACGGTGGGATAGAAGTGGACGAGAGTGATGAAGTAGGTGGAGCTCCTCTTCCTGGCTTCTCTTTCAGTCTCCAGTTTTCCCTTGATTCATACAGGGCTCAGCTCATTTGTCAGTATTTTTCAATGCCTTTAGCTTTTTTCTTTTTTAAGCTATAATTGTTCTTATTGTATTAACATGACTTTTCTGGCTTTCTTTGCTTCTCCTTTGCTTTTCCTTCCCAATGTAATTGTGACTTCACAGATTCACAGATTGGTAGTTGTGGATTTTTTTTTCTTCTTTTGATTTTTGAGATGAGTGTGTGAAATATGACTCAGGCTAGCCTCAAACTCCTAAGTTCAAAATCCTTAGCCTTAGCAGGGTCTCTAGACATGCACATTGCCTTACCCCTTCCCCCCCAAGTTACATAAACATCTAATAGTCATAGGTTTCTCAAACACATACCATTTTCTGATTGTGCTGTGTTAGTGACAGTTAATTCCAAATTTCTGATTGGGTTGTGTTAGTGACAGTTAATTCCAAATTCTGTGGGTTAACTGGGCAATGTTTTTGTTACTGTGGGTATATATATATATACCTATGACAGTAGGTATATATTTGCAAGCTGCTGTGATATTATCTTACCCTTCATGTTTTCTCCTTCTGTATGTCTATTATCCAGGAGTCTAGGTGAGGGTTTGTTATTGCCTGGGAACTGGCTTGTAAGTGGTAGCATTCCAGGAAGTTCCTGTGTGTGAATGCTTATCATGACTACAGTTGCCAGCACTTATTAGTATCAGATTGGTAAAGGCAGATTGGTAATTAGCACAGTCTTGTTACTCACTGGTAAATATTATACTCACCCTTCATCAAGGAAACCTCTATTTGTAACAGATAGGAACCATTACAGAAACCACAATGGATTAAAATGCAGAGTTGTAGAGCCCAGTCCCAATTGTATATTTATAGGATGTGTTCTTAAAACAATAACAATAATAAAAAAAACTCACCTTCTTCTAGCAGCCATCAACTGCCAGTAGCTCATAAAATAGATGTGTGCCTTTGTGACTCATGCCCCATCACTCTTGAATGTTGATCTGCTTGATCTCTGTGGGTCTTGTCCAAGCAACCATAGCTGCTCTGTCGCTCCTTCCCATTCTCTGACTCTTACATTCTTTCTACCCTTCATTCTTCAATGTTCCTTGAAACTTCAGGCTGTAGGTTGATAAAAATGTCCCATTTAGGGGAATCTGCATTAATTGATACCCACTGAAAAGAGGAGCCTCTCTTACCAAGGTTAAGATTAGTGCTAATCTATGTTTAAAGGCATAAAAATTTAGAAGACAGTTTGACAACATACACATTCAGCAAAACAGGAATAGGCCATTAGGGCCTATGATCTTACCAGATGTGTTCATTTGACCAGGTTTACAGCACTAGGCAAGAAATCACTCTTGTGGTGCAGACCTCAAATTCAATTAGAAAATAGTTGGTTACATCCATAATACTGATGCCATTATGCACCAGTGGACACATCTTGTGTGGAAGATCAGATTTATAGCATGTAGTGTCTACCACAGTTGGGTAAAACTATCACTGGTAAGACTTTTCTCCCCTAGAGGCTTACACAGCACTTTCTTAAACCATGAAAAATAACTAGCAAAGAGGAAGTTTCCAGGTCAGTTCCAGGGTGATTTCTCTATATTCCTACTTTGTGAAGTCTTAAGTATTAGGTTCCATTTATTGTGGGCAACCAAGAGTAAAGTCAGCATCCTGTGTTGTTTTGGGAGCCTATGTGGCCTCCCTGACAAACTGCTTGTAAGGAAGTTATCTCATACCCAACATCGAGAGTTTTAATAGTAACTGATGCCTTCTGGGAGTATCATTGTCAACTCATTTAGGGTATCCCAGTTTATAAAAGCCTGTGTTTAAAAAATAGAACTTAGGATTTTATCAGTACAAAATTTATAGAAAATAGTATCTTTCTGTTTTTCCTTTTTAATGTTGATGTTTAAATACAAATCCAGTATGCCTTTCTAATTTATTGTTACCTAAAAAAAAAATGTAGACATTCATTGTATAGTATGGTTGCCACTAGCCACGTTTAGTGTTTGAATTTTGAAATTGAGGTATGCTATTAACTGCAAAATACATGTAAAAATGTGAATATTTGAGGAAAATGTACATGTTTTCAAAGTATTGGAGGCTTGGGAGAATGTTCAGTTCATAAAATGCTTGCTGTTTAAACATAAGGACCTACATTCAGGTCCCCATAATATAAAAAAGCTGAGCATGTTGGGCATGCTTGAAATTACAATGTTTGGGGGGTGAGACAGCATGATTTGGGTGCTTGCTGTACAGTTTGTCTAGTTGAATTGGGGAATTCCAGATTCAGAGAGATAGCCCTTCTCAAAAAATAAAATGGAGACTCATTGAACAAGGTACCTGATACTGACCTCTGGCACTCATGCATACATTGTACACACAAATGTACATATATACACAAAATATTAATAACATGTAAGATGATAATTTCTTGGACATATTAATGACATTAAATGTAGTATTGCAATTAACTTGTTTTAATTTAATGAGATTTTTTAGAAAATTTAAATGTATAGATCCCTTTTGTTCTGACTATACTAGTCAGATGAGTTGTTAATTCTGCAGTTCTTGTGCTAGTTTGGTGTTTTCAGTTTTATTATTGTGGTTTTAAAAATTAAAGTATTTTATTTAAAAAAGTAAATCTGTAATAGGTCTCAATTAGCCATAATTTGGGGGTTTCATGAGTTTAATGAGATAGCATAGTAAAACAAAATTAAAGTATATGGATTTCTTGACATTTGGGAGGTGTAATAGCACTTTTAAAAAAAATCCAGAAGTGCCGGGCATTGGTGGTTCACTCCTTTAGTCCCAGCACTCGGGAGGCAGAGGCAGGCTGATCTCTGTGAGTGCCA